CAACAAATATATATAGAGAGAGAGAGAGAGAGAGAGAGAGAGAGAGAGAGAGAGAAAGAGATCTATAAATTAAATATATTTTGCAATATGCATTTTTCAAAATTATTAAACTCAATAAGTTAATTGATAGTTTAAAGCATATATATTATAATTGCAACGATATATTAATAAAATATTGATATTTATAATATTTTCCTCATTACAGGAAGTACAACAGCAGTTTGCTTATAAAGAAACAGAATTATACAAGGAATTACAATCGCCACCAGCGAATTTATCTACACTAGTTATAAGTTTGGATATTGTGTCAGCTCATGATTTCTCTTACGATGGATTGTTTATTACCTATTTCATCGATTTGCCGCAAAATTGGAGTACAAATCAGAAAGAAAGATTGGTCGGCAGAACGCAGAAAAGCCGTTTAACAAATAAAACTGCATATTTTAGTTATTGTACTGATATACCCTTGTATTATCCGTCAAATGAATTTCAGTCATTAAACAACAATGTATCATCACGTTGGCCTCGATTATTATTCTCCGCAGCATCTCTGGATAGTTGGACCAGGTAATTATAGCAATTATAGAGAGCCTTGTTTCTCGAAATACACACACACACACACACACACACACACACACAAAATTTAGTTAAAAACAATTTTTTTCTATTTGTCAACAATATTATGACATAAAATATTGCTCGGTTTTAATATAGGTATCGAATAGAAGGTTACGCAGCATTACCAATACCAATGACACCTGGTAGATACAAATTTACAATTCCTACATGGCGTGCTAAAGGAAGTATTATCGATACATTGAGACGTTTTTTTGTTGGTGGTTCTTATGAACTTGAGGATGTAACATATTGCGGTATTCCAATTAATCACGAAGGTAAAGTTTTAGATAAATCAAATTTAAAAGTCGTACCGAGTGGGGATATTAAAATTTATATGAATATAATACATCAAAGTAGAGCACATATGAAACATTTCAATTATCAAAGAGATGATTCGGACAAAGTGAGCACAGATACACTCATGAATAATGTTGAAAATGTTCTTGAGCAATTTAAAGCAGCTAAAGAACGTATGATACGAATAAGAACAACAAATTCTTAGAGATAAATTATCTAATGACAATTAGAAAGACTAGTTAAGAAATTAGTTAATGTTTTATCAAGATTTCATTTTAATAATATACATATGTTTAAAATAATGTTGGGATTTACTTGCACATTTCGGCCGATTTTCAACTTGGTTCCTGCCCTTTACTGAAGTAAAGTGAAGTAAGGGGCAGGAACCAATCCTGATGAAAATGTAAAGTTTGTCGAAGCATCAAAGAAATGTGAACAAAGAATTTTAACGCTTTTTAAACACTTCATCGACTTTCCATTGATTCTTAGTGGTTTTGAATATTTGTACACGCTCCCCGAACTCTATTCAAACGCTCCGAGTGGTAGAATAAAATGTGCCCGAAACACATTTGTCACATTTCCCGCATATTATAATTTTTTTTTATTAATGTTTCCCAAATGTTCCACAACACTCCGCAAAGAGTGGAGCGTACTGATACACTTCCTAAATACTTTATTCATTGGTACTTCGTCTCCGCTTTTTAAACGTTCCGCAAAGAATACGCAAAACATTCAAATACGTGTACACTTCCAAAATATAGAAATAAAAAAATTTATTCTGTCATACAGATTGCAAGATTTCTTCCTAGGTATTAAAATAAACTATACATTAGAAGTTACAAAAAAAAATCGAACTTGGAAGACAAAAATAAATAAGAAATGCATACAAATTTGTAACTATATATTATAAAGCTTTAATAACCCAGCAAATAAAAATTTTCAATCCAAATCCGTATTTTAAATCTATAAAAATGGATTGGATTTTATATAAAAATATTTTTGTACGTGTAAAAGTATATTAAATAAATTAAAATAGTAATCACATGAACTTCTATAGTTATCATTTTAAAACTTTTATACAAAAAATATACTCTTGTTGTATAATAAAGGGAACGAAATATACATAAAAGTGATTAATTTATTAATTAAAAATCAATAATTTATATATGTAACATTTATTGTACAAATTTACATACTTACATATTTATTATTCTTTTAACTATTAAATGAAGTAGAATTCATGATATATTTTTACAATTTTTTTTACTCGGTTGAATTAAAACAAACAATTTCTTATTCATAATTCTAAATAAAATAGAGTTGCATTCGTGATGCATTTTTAAATGAAACAATGGATTTTTTACTCACAATTTTGAATTGAATAGCATTCATGACCTATTTTAGTAGAAAAATTTTTTTTTATTCAATTAGATTAAAAAACTGCATTTCCAATTCAGAATTTTGAATTGAGCAGCATTCATGATGCACGAATATGACTGATATTATTTTTAGATTTAGACTGGATTGAAAAACTGCATTCCCTATTCAGAATTTTTAACTAAGCAATATTCACGATGCACAGAAATTGCCGATATTATTTTTAGATTCAACTGGATTGAAAAACTGCATTTCTTATTCACAATTTTGAATTGAGTAGTACTTACGATGCACACCACACACACACACACACACACACACACACACACACACACACACACACACACACACAAAATATATTATAATATTATTTTTAGATTGAAAAGCATAAAAATATACATGCCATTCCTATAAATGAATAAAAATGCATTCAGAATCGAAAAGGATTTATTTTAACATTTATGAATCCGTATTTCTGAAAATCTGAATATATTTTAATCCACCTCAATCCGTTCTCGTTTGCTGGGAAGAACAATAAGTAAATTAAGTGAATTAAGAAAACATAGTAGATAATATTAACCATTGATTGTAATTATACAGTACGACAAAAATCGATTTTTTTTCCTTCTATGAAAAAATCAAAAAGATTCTGAAAGATATAAAAAAAAAATACCCGTATCTCGGCGTTTTACCAGAGCAAGTCGTTAACGTTTTTTAAGTATTATCAAATGTCTTTTTATAATACTGTACAGCACAGGTTTCCTCCTATGAAAAATTCAAAGAGATTCTGAAAGTAGATATTAGGAAAGCATATCTGTGTCTCGGTATTGACTTTCTTCGATATTATCGCAATCTAAACAAAGCGACGTAAACAAGCAGCAGTCATTCCCTGTTTTTGCTCAGTTCGAACAGTCGTGATCGCGGATTTAGTTGATGAAATTTCAAACTGTACATTTAAAACGAAATTGAAAGTGAAGGAAATATTAAAATAAATAAACAATAATGCAGTGTCCAAATCGAAATAATTATTTTCATGCAATGAAAGTTAACATGTTGCTCAAAATACACTTTCGTCACAATCATTTGGATTTTTTTCCACCAAATTTGGGTGAATTCAGTGATGAACATGGTGAACACTTCCACCAAGACATTGTGATCATTGAGAAACGCTTCAAAGGAAAAGACATCAGATACATGCTTGCTGAATACTGTTGGTCTATTGTTTGTGATACAAAACCGAAATCATACAAATAGCAAATCAGACGACCAAGATTTTTATAATAATTGTAATTATAATTGTATTATTATTATTATTATACAAAAATTTGAAAATATATGAAAAAAATAATTTTGAGTTGTTTTTTTTTGTATTCGGACTCATCGCATAATTAATTTCACATGTAAAAACGTTAATTATTATTTATTTTAAAAAATTATTATATAATTTGAAACAGTTGTAAAAAGCCAATATGAATCAAATACGATAAATGGCTGCAAGAAAACCGTTAACAACTTGATCTGATAAAACGCCGACAGGTTTTTTTTTACATCTACTTTCAGAATCTCTTTGATTTTTTCACGGAAGAGAATGTGTGTTGTACTGTGGTCATATGGTTAATGTTACAATATTTTCTTAGTTTATTTAATCTAGTATTTTTATTAGAATTTAATAATATGTATATAGTTGAGGCGCTATTTCACTACAAATTTATAGTTACTGGTACGACTTTTTTCTCTGAGTGCGACAATGTTCCGTTTACGTTCTCTATAGACTGCCTAATCACGCTCCGTTTACATTCAATGAATATTCTGCTCGTGCTTACCGAAGAACTTATCTATGCTTTATTTATAGTTTTTTTACATTTAGCTGACGTTTCCTTTACGGTCCATGTTCCAATTTTCACTTCTTTAGGTTTTGTTTACATTTCCGTTACTGTCTTCTTACACTTCCTTTACACTCCAATTAACGCTTTATTGACACTTACTTTACGTTTTATTTTCATTAGGAAAGCTGAAAATCGGCCGAAATGTACGAGCAAATTCTAGCACTGGTTTAAAATAATGCATGTATTGTATTATAAATTAAAATAGAAAATTAATTATATTCATAAGGATTATCCCAGTGAGAAATAATAATGGAATCGTCATCGATTTCATTGTTATTCCTCACTGAATATAAGGTTAATTATATTCAAAAACAAATATATATATATATGTGTGTGTGTATAATTTTATATTTTTCAATGTATATAACTATAACTACTAATAAATTTCAATTATTTTTATTATATTTGAGTGTTAGAATGGCTGCATTCAGTAGAAAAAATTAATCAATTAGTGCTTAGTGATTCTTCAATATGATTGATTCTTACTTTTAATTCTTCATCAAATCTAAGTGTAGGAATCAATCGTATTAAAGAATCATTAAGCGCTAATTGATTAGTTTTCTCTACTGAACGCAGCCAATGAATACTATAAATATGCAAATTATTCTTCATACAGATCTGATTGTAAGTGATTGTGATATAAGAATATATATGTGCAATATGTGTATGTAACAATAAATCTTTTTGATAAACTATATGATGATATATGACACAGATTTTTCTTCTTTCTGATTTAACAGAGAGTGGTTTACTTGCATACACTTTCAATTGCCCACTGTCAATGACAGCGACTTCTGCGTATAAAGTTTTTTTACATTCTTTTCTAGCGTTGTGATTGCTCGGGGAAAAATGTTATATATATATATGTATATATATGGACATATTTTATATATAATTATATATAATTGTATATAAAATATGTTAATTTTTTACATAATTATATATAATTTTATATATTTTTATATAATTATATATGAAATATTTTTTCCCGGCCGATTTATACACAACGATTTGGCTCATGTGCAATTGAAGGGATAGGCGGAATAAAGGCTTGATTATGAAATCTTGATAGTAATAAAAATTAAAATGACTTGCTACTTTTTTATTATACACAAATACAATATCAAATAAATTTATGTAATATTTTTAAGAAGTTACAATACTTTTCTTACGATCAATATTACATGAAAAAGCTAATTACCTAAAAAAAACGACTTAAGTAGAATTGTGCTTTTATTCCGCCTATCCTCTTAATTGCAAAGGAATGCAAAAATCGTTAGGAGAACACGACAAATACTAGGCCGACAAAAGGTTAGTATAATTCCTAGGGTGTGGTCCATTTGCGACATTTATCAACAAAATTTTTTTGAAACTTTTGATTGACCAATTAAAAAAAAGAATTTTACTAACTGATAAATCAAATGCTTCGAAGCATTCGTAGCATTAAGTGGATCGTAGTAAAGCTGGTTCTACATTAGTCGCATCGCAAGCGTTGCGGTCCAATAAACATCAAGCTAGTTCGATTCTGATTGGACCGCAACGCTTGCGACACGCTTACGACATTGCGATGCGATGTAAAACCAGCTTAAGGGTGCCGTCGCATTAAGATGCCTTTTCTTGCCGAAACGCTCGACGCTCATTTTGGTGGCGTCAAAATAAGTTCCATGATAGAAATTGACGAATATCAACCATCAATTTTGATTATGTGGCCTATTTTGACGCTGAAAATGAATGTCGATTATCAGCATGAAAAGGTATCTTTAAGCACGAATCGGATTTTTTACTAAAATTGAGCATCCATTCCAGGAGCTCAGATATTTTATATGGTGAAAAAGCTGCGCAACGATACCAACAACTGTCAGTAGATGTGCAAAACAGTTACGGAAATTTGCGCCCAAGGCCCCTATTCTCGAAAAGTATCGCGTACGAAAAACTAAGGAAA